GTTCGAAACAATTTACATGTCAAGATAATATAGATAATTAATGTACTTTACTCGTAGCAAATAAATAAATTATAACTGTTTAATTTTATTGTCGCGTATCAAAGCTTATTAGCCTTATTTCTGAGTATTTTCGATAATACTGTTTGCATAAATGAAAACAGTACTTCTCTGTTGAGTTACCGTTTTCACTTGCTTAAAATTTTTTAATGCGCAATGGAATATTTAATAAAAAATAATTTACAATATAAAAAAACAAACACAATCTATAGCGACTGTCACATCGAGTAGGGCATGTAGTGCAACGCTTTGAAAATGATCCCTCTGCATCAAAGACCTTAATCTCAAATTCCGTGTATAGCAACACAAACGTGTTAAAGATATCGCATCATAGAATCGAGTTCATTTGAATGATTCAACAAACGCATTCCTATAATGCCAAATCCCCAACATATGTTGCAACACACAAATTGAGAGTAAAGACTAAGGACCAGGGATGGTACCAGTAAATATGAAATAGGTCTACTGTAACCAGTTGAACCGAGCCTCTAAGAGAGTAATGCAATAACTTGTTTAACCCAAAAATTTAATTTAATTTAATTAAAATTATATAAGATGTCATCCTTAATTAAATTTTAATTAAGTATGACATTTAATAATAATTCTGGCTTAGTAAACACTAGTATTGTGTTATATTCCAAACACACGTGGCAACTTTTTCCATCAAATATGTTTATTGAGTCGATACGGTACATTGTTTTGTACTCGTTTTGGGCTTTACCCCTCTCCAACAACTCAACTAATAAATATATTTGATGGAAAAACTTGCCACGTGTCTTTGGAATACAACACAATACTAGTGTTTACTAAGCCAGAATTATAGAACAGATCACGGTTTCAAAAAACAAATCAAAAAATTTAATAATAAATAAAAGTAAGAACTATTATATTACGGGACAACTTCAGATTTTGGATATGCAATTTCTGGCCACAAAAGTGAGCAGTCCCCCAAGTGGGGTTATTGACAGAGTACTGTACTGAATCCTACTAAAAGTTTAATACAGATTATAAAAGTAAATAATAAATAAAATAATTTACATATTGTAGCCTTTCTTACAGGGTAATATATTAACACTGAATATAAAAATATTGAATGTACAACGAATGCAAGCTATCGTAATAGGGTCCATTTGAAATAATGTACAGTACTACACAAAATTGTTTAGTCTCCACAGATAGAATCAATATGCTTATAAAATGGGAGTAAAGGTTTTATTTAAATACTATATTTTAACAAGAAAATTTGGAAAAAATTCCTGGAATAGAAGTTATAGATACGGAGGTGTCCGAGTGTCGGGAAAAACATAATAATTAAACTGACTTTTACATTGGGCTTGTTGAATGATGCGAATGATGTATCAGCAACACAGACTATTGCTGATTTATATTTTTCAAAAAGAAAAAAAATCAATTTTGTATAAATTATTGAACAAATATATAATTGTCTTTCTCCTCACTAAAATTCTGGAGACGAATTTGTTTGGTATAAATAAAGGTTATTTTAATTTGAATGCCATCTGTGGGAGGGAGCTCCGCAAACTGTTCCAAAATTATAGCAACAAAGCTTGATTCCTTTTAAAGTGCATTAAACAATAAGTTGAGTTTACCTATTCTGTTGTCCAGGAATAAATATCTAACTAGGACACTCCTAACTTGGCCAATTAAGATGAGGTGGTCAGTGACCATCATCTTAATTGGCCAAGTTAGGAGTTAATTTGGTGATTTATAATGAAGTTCTATGGGACAATTTTAGGAATAGCCTCAAAACAAGACGTTACTATATTTCATTTGGAAATGCTTAATTTTTCTGATTTTTCCTTACTTTCCCTGGCCAACTTTCATTTTCTTGACTTTCTAAATTTTGAATATTTGGGAACTTTGTCCTATAATATAAAATAAAACATTTGAATACATCCAATGCAGTTAATCCAATTATTGTAAGTACCCTAAAAGTTTAACTGTAATTTATGTACAATTTATTTTTTATCTTTAAAAAATTTAAAAATCTTATTTAAAAGAATTTCATTATAAACAAGTTTTATAAAGGTTATATCTGAATAAGATGACAATTTAATATTTACAAAGGTTAACTTTTCTGCTAATTTTGTAAACAGTTTACTTCGACAAATCTTTGAGTTTTGCAAAAACCAATTTAGTATATTCAAATGTATGTGCAATTATTTGTGAAGAGAAGAAATATTTTTTCATACATTAAACTTACAACGGACGTTAAATCTTTAATATTTTATTTATTAATACATCTCGCTCATCTACGAAAATGTTATTTTTCAATATTAAATACATGCCATACTTCTATTTTGGAATATTTTTAAGTATTTTTCACTATTAACATTCTGTCAATCTTCCCGATTCGTCGTAGATCGATTCTTTGGGAGGCATCAAGTGCAATTCTAAGCAACCCGATGTGTAGGCCTGAAATACAAAAATCGACTGTTATTAAAAAAGTATTAACTCCAAAATATTTACAAATTGATAATTTATATAATTATTTAATATTTATTTCCCTATATATTGAAATAATGCCTTCATTTATTTTTTGGTTTAAGAGGGCCTTTTTCTTTCTTTAATGTTGTGGGTTTCACCAAGCCCACAAGAGGGCGACCGATTGCAGAGGGACGGGGCCAGACTGCCCGTGAGAAATTCCTGGGTTTTTTTGCAATGCCCAGATTTGATCCTTAATCTTCTGGGATGGTAGGCAGTCTCGACTGCCTTGGCTATCTGACTGTCTTATTTCAATATTTGTTTATGCAATCTATGAAAAATTTGCATGCAAAATAACTAGTAACATTGTCCAACCAGTATAAGCACGAATCACAGTGGATAAAACAAAGCACTGTAAATTAAATTAACAGCAATTAGGATGATAAATGATTTTAAATATTAACTTGCAACAGTTAGAGAAAATCATGTGCAATGTGGCCAAGAGTAATGTAATCCTTTTATGCCGTGAGGCAAGGCCTCTTCGATAAGATGTAAGGAAAACAGCTTATTGGGATCACTTTTGGAAATCTTTGATAGAAGACAACCAAGTGCATTACACTCTAATAAATGAATTTGGTAAAAATTACAAGCAGACCATTGAAAATTAAGACAGTATTATAAAGAAATCAATTCACAGCACTAGAGTCATAAAATTTGGAAAAAAATACTAAATAAATAACTTAATAGTTTCATTTGGCTAAATAAATCTGCTATGATAATCACAAGCTAAATTAAAATCCAGAACTTTACCATCTTGATTTTTTGTTTAAATTTAAAACAAAACAATCAATCAAGCAAAGAATATATTAAAATTTTAGTCACCTAAGTTATTTTCTTTATTTATTCATTCATTCTTGTTTGGCTACAAATACCATTAGTTGTCAAGAGCATACATAATCTATTAACAAAATAGTAATCTTCTTAAATGAACAAGTGTATACATACCAAAAGTAGTTGCACCAAGTGTTGCTACCTTTCACATCCAATTTCTGCTGATAGGCAGACTTACATTCAGTTGCATCTTATTATCTGGTTGAATAATGTTAGTCATAAGTTGGAAAAGATTGACATTTTAGGCTAATTTTTGCAAAATTACGACTTAAATACCAGAAATTAAAACTGTGGTTTGAATATCGTCTGATACAATTATAATCGACAAATAAGATCAAAATCCTTTAGAATCCAGCAGATAATTTAATTGAAAAAACATTTCTGCTGTTTTGAAAAGTTGCAAATAAAATTTAAAATTATATAATGCAATTATATAATGATAAANATTAAATATTATTTATATATAATAGAGTAATTATAATGATATCATTTTAAAGATAATTATTATTACAGAAACAAATATATGATGAATTAACTTATAAAATATTTACATTCTGTCGGAGATAACGAACACTACATAAAATTTTATTTTACGATTCTCTGGAATATCTGTACATATTCCTTATTTTTTTTATTAAAGTATTAATGAATAGCCTAAATGAAAAAAAAAGTATATTGAAAGGAAGAAAAGGAACAAGGAATTTCATGTTAAAGCTATATTTATATAATGAACTCAAAATACGACACAAGATTTGTTTAATCTCAATTGGATGATTAAGAACTTAGTTGTAAAGTTAATATTGTAGAGTATGTAACTATACATACATATCTTTATTTATTTATTTATAAACATTCATGTATAAACCTACATTTGTTATAGATTTGTAAATAAATAACGAAGGAAATTAGGGGAAAACGAAACTTTCGGGAAGAATAGAAATATCTATAAATTTTTGGTCAGTGGGTTGTTAAAGCTAGCGAGAACTGCAAAAACATCGTAACAAACCCCACACTGCATGTCTGCCACTATCAAGATCATTGTGAGTTTGTAACTATGAACGGAAACAGTTTTTTTTCACCAAAATATCGTAATGTTACTGATTATTATTCTCACACTAACAAGTAAGTCAAATTAATCTTAAGTATTACACGTGAGCTATTTTTTTTTAAATATTGTACGTTGCACTGAAAATTTATGTACTTATATTGTAATTGTTCAGTTTTTAAAATAGACTAACAATATTCAAATAATCTCTCCGTCTGAGGCAGAACAGAACCGAGTTGTTTTCTGTTGAAGGTTGAATTGTTTGCCAAAACTACCTCAAATATACCCATATTGATATGCTGGAGTGGATAGTGAATGCTAATTCTCATTTGTAAATTTTGCTGCTTATTAAAAAAATAATAATAATAATTTTTAATTCATATTTTAAATTTTTCAAGAAAATGTTTCCTGTACAATACAACTAATTTTAACAAATATTTACATAAAACAAAATAAACTACATAACAATGTAATTTTATCATTGGATTGGTTATTTTTATGTAATAAGGATAACAGTATACCAGGCAGAACAATGTCTGTTCTGTTTGAAGCCATTGTTCACAGAATGACAACATAATTGTATACAATTTACGGCACTTTTGAATGTGTTGTCAATGTACCCTTTCGGTCCCAATTACAACGCCGGTAACATACAAGACATTCCTATTTTCAGCGCTTTAGTAAGTGCTTCACAAAACATTCTTAAATACGATATTCTTTGAATATTTTTCGAAGACTTTCGAAAGGCTGCTGTTTCCTGCTTAAGAGTAAACATGGCGACGACCTATCGTGAGGAAGAGAGAAAAAGTATTTTTTTTTATGGAGAAAACTTCAAACTGATACGAACAGAGGTAAATCATTACCACTTTTCTTTCGCATTATTCTCTTAGAAAATTTTCGTATGAGGAACCTTTTTGGTTTGTTTTGAATTCAAGTCGAATCTTCGAAGCATTTCATAAACATTTCACATCAATGTTTATTCATAATCTTTCCCATGATAGTCGATTCATTATTAAGTTAGGCTCACTAATAGACGAAATCAAGGATTAACATAATGATAAGAAGCTTTAATTATTTTTAAAACTTGGCTTCTCTCACTAGAAGGTACTATATGCAATTTTTAAAATGACGCCTAATGAGTCACTTTGCAAACAAGAAGAAAACTTCTCAGATTTCATTTTATCTATTTCTGAAATATTCTATTAGATAAGTTAAGCTATTCAATAAGTTTTACGTGTAATAAAATTTACCATTTCTATTAAAGAATTTGAATTTTCAATTTTAACTTGCCTCATTTTTTTATATTTTAAAAAATATACTGTGTAAATGTAGTGGCAAATAATAATTATTTATTTAAACATTTTCTTGATGCTTTCCAATAAATTTACATGTGCTAATTGACTTTTTTTTGCGTAAGAAAAAAAATTATAAAATAATAATAATATTAATTACTAAAATTACTGAAAAACTTTATATAAGCTTTTTCATATACAGTCAACAACCTCTGATAATTAACATAAAAAAGATAATTGTTCTGAGGTTGGCTGAAAATTGCACGGGTGATTTGACATTGTAGAAAATCACAAAGACAATTTTGACATTGTAGAAAATCACAAAATATTTTCTAGAAATGCCCCCTAACGTGCAGAGAACTCTTAAAGATACAGATGTAAATTGATCTTCCATTGTAGGCTATGATTGAACTTGAAATATGTATGGAATGAACAATTTCTTCTGTGAGCTGAAATAGTTAAAAACAAGAGATTCTCTACAATGGTTATTCCTTGATTTTTAAAGAAAACTTTGTTTTTTACGTATACATTCAACCACATGAAAAGCCAGTAACCAAATTTTATTATGAAGAATTTTGTACAGTGCAGTATTTTCTACGCATCATTTTGAGGGAAGTTCCCGTTGTTGAAGTTAAAATAGGATTTTTAATGGCCGGAGCCGTTATTGCAGGTTAAACGGCATCACTTTAAAAGATTAATGTTTCATGAATTGGAATAGAACAACGAACTAGAATATATTACATAGAGTGGCTGTGACTTTAGATACAGCTCTCTTGGTGACAACGGTGGGTACACTCGACCGCCATTTTACTTTCATTCAAAACAATGATGTCTGTACCACGTGTTTGGCAGGATTGTCACTTTAGAATGTATTTTTCTTATCTAAATTTAGATTGTTTTGTTTACCCCAAAATTTGAGATTTAGGCAATTAAATAAGTGACATAAATCTAGACTGTTTCATCTCGAATGTAGCTATTTTTCTAGATTTTATTTAATTATTATAAAAATATTATTATATCAGACAGTACGGGTATTAAAGCAGATAGGTGGCACATTAAAAGAATAAAAATAAAATAATCCAGCAGCAAGTTGCTTAACTTTCCCTGCAACATTTGGTGGTGCCATTTGTTATGATATTTTATTTTAAAACGTTTTATATTTTTAACTATTATAAAATGGAAAAAACCTTAATTTTTAGGTTTTTTTCCATTAGGCTAATAACATAAAATCGTCATTAAGTTCGACTCTACTCGAGATATATACAACCCCCTTTATCTTTCTATTTCCTCGACCTTTAATCATCGAAATTTACTAGGGGATTGATGCTCGTAATAGCATCAATCCCCTAATAAACAAACCCTTCAGCAAAATTTCAGAAATTTTCGACAAAAGACACAGGAGTTACTAAATTTCAAAGAGAGTAAAAAAATCGTGCCCCACATACAAACACACACTAACAACCATACATACAAAATAAAAATCCCGAATTTTTTTTGTATTTTTTGACGTTTCAAGGTGCCCTAAGTCCAAAAATGTAAAAATCTCAAGGGATCATTTTTTTATACCGATCGCCATACTTTCCTTCTGTTATATAGGCTTATAACAGCATGGAAAGTAATATAAATTTTAAGTTTCTTATAAAAATTTAACTTGATCTATGCTTTTGATAACAACGACTCTTAATATGATTTTAAAAATCGTTACAATCAATTCAGATAATCTCTGAATGCATCCAAGAATTCTATCTGATTTCTATAATTTTTGGAGCTCAAAAGAGATATATATCGATTTGAAAAACATTCTCTTTGATAGGATTAAACTAGAAAACATACGGCAAAAACTCAAGTTGATGCTCATGATATTGGATTAGAGTACGAATTTCTTTAGTCTTGTGGAATGGTGTATCTTGTTGAAACTTTCTGTTCTTTACTTCTGGGAACGAAACGAAACTTAGAGAAATTTTAGGTAGAGACAGAAATGACGGTAAATATACTGTTTTCGACATTAAAATGCAGAAGTTCGTTTCTGGTAATAGCGGGCGAAAGGAAATGTTTTTTCGTTCTTATAACAATTCAGATTTTCTAGCTATATAAATTTCATAAACACGAATAATGACAATGTTATCGTCATATTTGCATATACACTACTCTTGCGTATAGTCAGTATTAATAATCTACCAACATTTGCAACATTTAAAATTATGATCGTATACGACACGTGGGCAGAACAAAACACCTGTATTTCAGTAGATAATTTATTTAGGAAAAATCCTTTGTATATTTAAGTGTTATTGAAATATGTACATATTGGTGTGTACAGTAGAAAAATCTGGAAAGTAACAAGCAGCTGAGTCAGTATGAAAAAGTGAGATGTGGAATTCTGTGCTCCCCATCTTTATTCTATACACTATCTATCCTTCTCTTAGAGTAGGAAATTAGTTCAATAAATATTAGTAAATATTGGTTATTCAATTTATTATGTTTAAGGGAAAGATATTAATTATATATTTACAAAATATTTAATGTTTCTTCATTATTTAGTAAAATAAATTTTGAAGATTGCATTATATTAACGTTATACTAACCTTCACAACTATACAGTATATAAATAAAGTATACTTGCAAAATTTACCTTTAACAAGCTTGAAAATACCGATATAATATTAAAGAAATATTTAAAATAAATAATTTTAGGGGGGAAATATATAACTTATATATGTAATTTTAAGAGAATTACAACAAAGAAAGATAACGTAACCGTGACGTGACGTTTATACGAAAATAAGCTGGCACTACGCAAACAACCTGCAAATTCAATTTTCGATTTTGATGTTTTCGAAAAGATAAAATAAATGACATCATCTTATCATAACAAATTGCTTTAGAATAAAATCACTTTCCTCAATTAATCCACGAAAAACGCGGGCACACGTCGCACACATCAATACACACATTGAAACACATCATTTCGAAAACAAGCAATTTTTATTTAGTGCAATATTTTTCGGTAGAAATGGCGACATCGATTTTTTATATTTTTTTATGAAAACGTTCCTTCCACCTACAGTTTATTATGAAGAAAACAAAATATATAAAATCATAGAAGCCTTTAATGTGAAATTATTTTATAACTTAATTTTTATACTATATAAAAGGATAAAAACTAATTTTTTTTTCATATTACTTTAATATAAATTCATACAAAAGTTATATTTAATACAAAATATTCATTGTATATTATCATTTTAATAAGAAATAGTAATACACACTTATAAATTATACATTGTGTGTTTACGTGTTTACTATTATTTTAATGTCAATTTTATGTAAATAAAAATTTATAATTTTATTTTTGAATATTACTTATAAAATATTCGAAAGAAAAAAATAATATAATTGTTTAATAATTTTAATTTTTCATTTTAAAACGTCACTTGTTTACTTGTGTAGCTATTATTATATCCAACGTGACCTTTTATGAAATGCTTGACGTAAAAACACTCGATATAAATATGGAATGCTTACATTCGTTCTTATAGATATTTCGATTGTGTTAAAGTATCATTTATATTAATGCTTTAAATTTAAATTTTGTATATTTTAATTACTCCAAGATTCATATCAATTTATTATTTATAATAATATTTTTATGCGATTTGTTACTTCATTCAAGAACGTAAATATGGTGCCATCTATGGACTTAAAACGAAACTGTCAATACTTTTTAATGTTATAATCGTTCTTTTTTTTAAGGGGAGAAATGTTATATTAATCTGTAATTTTAATACGTTTATTAATAACATTTTCCGAGATTGGGAGTGTAAATAGTAGAGATACTCTTTAATGAATCGTCGTTTATATTACAGTAGACCCCCCGATAACACTGTAGGTAATTCCGTGTTATATGAATTCCATGTTGTACGAGTCACTTAGATTTTACAAATACGTGAGCCGTTCACAGCCTGGCACACGTATTTGTAAAATCTAAGTGACTCGTACAACATGAAATTCACATAACACGGAATTATCTACAGTGTTATAGGGGGTACAATTAAATTGAATACAATGTTTAGCAACTGCTGATAAATGCGAATTATTTTTTACTGCATAAATATGCTCATTAAACCTAACTTTTAACTTTCACCCGTTTCATCTACATAATTTATCACACATAAACAATTAAATTTATATATTTCTTTGCCCGGTTCCAATATATTAGTTTTATTATTAATATTTGTGCTATTACAAATTAATTTTCCTTGTGATGAATTGTTACTTGTAAACTCTGAAACTATTTTCATTTTATAGAAGTTGAAACCAACAAGTTAGAATAACATAAAGTGCTAGTAACAGTGTTTATAGTGCCACTTTTGGAAGCTCGTTGAAGAGAAGGAAGCCATGACAGTTTCAGGGTAAAAAGCGAAAGAATACCGTAAGAAATAGTTATGCCACATTTTTGTGTTGCTATCAATTGTACCAAGTTATACGAAAGGTTCAGGAATTTCATTTCACAAGTAAGTTATAATTATTAATTTTGCTCACACTATACTTTTCTGTGTCGAATAAAATGTTTAACCATACTAAATTTACTTAGAATTAACAGAAAAGTTCACCACAAAACGATTACTGATGCTAATCAGTAATCGTTTTGTGAACGTCATATTTGCGTTCACAAAACATATTTGCGTTCACAAAATTCTAATCAGTAATCGTTTTGTGGTGAACTTTTTTATCTGTTTTTCATGTAGGAATAGATGAAAACTTATATCGGATTCCCGTGTGGCTTTGGAATTGCAATTTGGAATGCAAAAGAAAGCTTTGCTTTTTATCTTGCTGATAATACACAAAAGCGATTCAAACGACCCAGATAAAATTGAATCTGTATAGAGTTATATCACGCGTAAATAAATTTTTCTCATTTCTATTGTCTGTTTGGTTTGTTGGGTGTTTACCTTAATGGGCTAATGAAAATAGTCTCATATCTCATAAACACTTAAGAATATTACCGGCAGATATGCAAGACAAATATAGAATAAATAATAATGAAGGTAATAAAATTTGCATAAGATGATTACCATTCTTATCCAACAGAGTGTTAATAATCATAAATTACTGTCGAGTACAGTACTTATTGTACCTACCCTGAACTAATTTGCTGCGTAATAACGTAAGTAGAACAGCAAATTTTAAATCAGTATTCTTTGAATAAAGACCTAAAATATTTTAAAAGTTTATTTTATGTAACTAAAATAAACTTTTAAAATATTTTAGGTCTTTATTATAATAAATGTTTTTAATTGGCGAATATTATGATAAGATGTAAATCTAAATTCTGTAATGGAATTTTAAACCTTATTGTTAATAGTTTTTATAATTTTACAGTGGTTATAGATAATTATCTCTTCATATATGGCTGAAGAGTATCTTAAGGACGAAATGTATTCCAGAAATAATGTTTCAGTCGCATGATAGAAGTGTTATTTTGATGTTCTCGGTGTGGCATACGCCTATCTCCTCTACTCAGTGAATGATATAGCTTTATCAATATAAAAAGGCAGGTAATTTCTTTTATTAAGTACGATTATAATTTAGAATTTCATAATGGATGTTTCTGTACATTCAATATTTCAAGATTTAACTCTTTTTTTTTTTTTTTTTTACTTTTAGTCAAAATTTTAATGAAGATAACTGCGTAAAAACGATGGCGAATAACTTAGAAAATAAAAATTGGAAGCACATTTATGCACTAGAAAATGCAAGAGGAAGAATTTTAATATCCGAACTGATTTTTGGAGGCGTATGCAGACAAACTAGGAAAAGATTTTTAGTTAGAGCACCGGATAGATAGGAAACACCTATGCCTCTTTTTTTAAATATGTAGATGAACAGTTAATCATAATTACAGACAATGCTAGAGGTCAGGGTTTAGAAAAGTATAGATTTTCCAAAATATAATATTATTCAGTGCTGGATGAGTCAACACCGACGGACAATTCGATTGCTATCGAAGAGGTTCGATCTAAGCACTCAAATTCATCTATTCTTTCAATCTGAGTAGTTCGATTTTCTTAGAAATTTCTACAGACATGGACATAAAATATTCATTTTTCGTTCGATGGTTTCTTTTTACAATATAATAATAATAATTTTTAATTCATATTTTAAATTTTTCAAGAAAATGTTTCCTGTACAATACAACTAATTTTAACAAATATTTACATAAAACAAAATAAACTACATAACAATGTAATTTTATCATTGGATTGGTTATTTTTATGTAATAAGGATAACAGTATACCAGGCAGAACAATGTAGTTACCTTATTTTTGAGTTTTTTTTTTTTTTTAAATATTATTTCTTAATAAAAAATTAGAAAATCTTGAAGTTGTTAATAAAATGTGTGAAAATAAAAGCGCATAAAAATTTTATTCCGGATCAGAGCCGAATTTGTCTCAGAGGCTGGCCGACATCTTACTAGCGGTCGACGAAAAACTTTGAAATATCTACAATGTAAGTAGTTGATGCAATTATTTCATTCAACAGCATTTCAACAAAGAAAAATCCATTCCTTTCACGATTACTTCCAATTCGAGCACTTTAACATTGCTTAAAGGCATATAATTATCAAAATTCAATTTTACGTATAAAGTAGAGCGTCGTTTATCCGAATCAGTTGGGGACTGAGGTGGTTCGGATAACTTATTTTTCGGATAACCGATTATGTACGAAAAAAATATATTAACCTATCCCGTGTTGAATTTTTTCTCCGTTGCGTGTCGCTTCGCGTTGAATTTTCGTCAATGTTAAGCCTAACGTAAACTTTTTAAAATAATAATCGTGGCTATTGTATCGTTAAAAATTATTTCTTTGTTTTTTACAAACAAAATAAATATATTGAAAAATATAAAAACAAAAAAAAATATACTTTAGAAGTTGATCTAGTATCAAAAACATTCGATTCAGAGGACACACAATCCTCAGAAAAACACCACACAAAAGTACCAGTGCTGCCAGCTAAAACACACACACCAACAAAAAAAATATTGGAGTAGCCAAAGATTGCAGCGCCACAGCACTAGCGAAAATTTAAATTTGCCGACTGGAATTCTTTCGGATAACTGACGTTTCGGAGAAACGACGCTCTACTGTAACTTGAAATTAAAATTTCGGAAAATTAAAGCAATAAAAGTAAATATTGCAAACGTAGAAAATTATATTGAATTAAATATGCCGAGGAAAACAAAAACAAAAATCCTGAAAAATAATTTACTACGAGTAATATTCTATTAGCAAAACTAATTTCTCGAAACTATATGATTTCAAGTGCTAAAAGTCTGGCGGTCGATTGGCCGATCGGTTAAGGTGGCAGACTACCGTTCTGGAGAACCTGGGCTCGAATCCGGACGGGTCGATAAATTCCCAGAAATCTTTCAGATATGACGAGCCCCATTCCTCACAATCCGGCCGCACCATTGCGGGCCTGGTCGAATCCACAATAGGATTGTTGTAAGAGGCTCTCTTAGTATCCATAAGGCGGAAAGAGGCGAAAAAAGTGATAGAAATCCATTCGGTGTACTGAATATTTTTGTAATAATTTCTTATTAAAAATATCATTTAAAAATTCCAAAGGCTACAAATGTCTGAAAAGACGAAAAAGGAGCAAATTTCAGAAAAATTTATATAAGTAGATTTGTGGGGCAATTCCAAGTTGCTTTACTCACGAGGAAATTCGTGTCATCACTTTCTCTAAAATCGATTAAAAAAAAAAAAAACATTATTTTATTTCGCGATACATTTATTAATAGAATATATTTAGTATATAATGAATTAAACGAAATCATAAAATATTTTTAAAATTAACAAATGATTTCTATTTAATAGGAAGTGACGTTTGAAGAAAACATGTACGTCATTTATCGAGTCACGTGATTCACGAGGGAGGTGTGAACGTGTGAAGGGATATTTCAGTTTGTAATGTGTTAAAACTGCTTTCCGACTTGTTTTAAACATAAAGAAGAAGCCATAACTATAAAAAATAAGAAACGATTTAATTGGTTGTTATGTGAATGTAGTTTTCCTTTCAGCTTAACGTTTCGTATAATTTCCGGAAAAAAATGGTAAGTTAGGCTTATTGCTAGTTGACAAGACACCGGGTTCCTTAAAATGCCCTTAAAAATAAATCACCATTAATAAATCTCTTTTCCTATATAATAATCAAGATTTATATACTTGTGATTTTTAAAAGTTACGCTTTTTTTTTTTTTTTTTAAAGCGGAAAGCAATACCTTTGCAAATTCTCAACTCCATATTTCTCTATGAAGATTCATAAATAACACAGATAAATTTAGATTACTATTACAGTAGGCACTCCTTATTCGCCCTTAAACTATAGTATAATATATAAGGTTGCGGGTAATAAAAATTCAAATTAAATATACACGTGATCAGTGTATTAATTTGTATATTTCACTTCATTCTATAAAATTTTGTACCTCTGATTAAAAATAGGTTAAAGCAAATAAGTTAATATTCTAATATTTGATTTGTTAATCTTATGGAATGGCTATGAGTATAAATAATGTAAACTTTGAACCCAAAATTTGATTGGTATTTTTAAAGTGCTTCTGGATATTTGGCCGATGTAATTATTTTCCTTTTGTACTTTGTGTTTGAACATTAATTTCGAATTGTTTTTTTTCAATATTATTTAATATATTACTGTGCAAATTATAGTTAGCTTTGGTTATTTTATCTATGTATATATAATGTGAATAGTGTATAAACTTGTTGGAGAATTAAAAAAGTTTGAAAACTTTTTTTGTAAATTGAAAACTAAATAATGGAAAATTAAAATACGGTGGTTATTTTGCAATATCGTTGGTGCAGATGAAAAGTTTTCTGAATCTAACATTTCGTGCCGGATTGGAGTTTGGATTAAGTATTATTTTTTTTTATTGCATTTTGTATTTAAATTGGAGGATGTCGAAAACATTTTTGAGTTGAAAAATTTTAACGAGTTAGAATTTAAAATGTATATGTTATATATTTAGCAAAGCAATAGTTTTATGATCAATTATTGTTTGTTTTAAATAACTACTCACTACGCCGAATTAATGATAATGAAACACTCGGAACCAATTACGGTGTGATTAAAAAAAAATCAAAAAACGAACATTTTCAAACCCCTTCTGGGCTCTGCATCAGGTTCTTAACCGTTCCTAGATGGTTATTCGATTATGGAATGACATTTAAATAAGAGTTTATCACACTATAATTGGTTCTTAGCGCATCATTATAATGTTTATTTTAATAATTCATACAGATTTATTGAAAAAATTTATATGAATACAAAAATTAAAATTTGTTTTTATAGTAGATATTTTTTTTTGTAACATGTAGGGTTCACAAAAAGCAATAGTCATTTATATTGTAGACAGTATACATGTACTATACTGAGTAATGTGTATATATATATTTTCAGCTTATGTTTACTAAACTGATTGAGATTATTAACAGTTTTGTATGTTAGAATAACGACTGATTTATTACCTTCTGTATGTTACGTGCAACACAAAAAGAGAAGATAATCTTGCCAAATCTTTACCTCAATATTTACAGTTGTTCTTCCACTCCCATGCATGTTTGGCATTTCAGAGTTACAAATATACTCAAAAATACAAGATCTCTGTTGGATTATTTCTCTCAAGAATGATTGAGTTTTTAACTTAGGTTTACTAAGATTTTTAGCTTTTAGTATATAGTCTACTATCTACCATATAAATGCTTTAACATCTAAGTATTGAAATAATTTTAAAATAAGAATTTCAAATATTATATATAATATATAGTGTTTGAAAATTATTAAAATTATTTCAATACTTTTTACAGTTAGCACTATTTAATTCTGAAGAAATAATAATAATATAATTAAAAATAATCATGATTTGAATAACATTTTGGTGAAACATTTGCAAATAAGATAGATTACTTCTCTAAACTAATACCTGTTATGTTTCACACAAGCATTTCTTTTTGTGTACCACATTATACGAATTAAATATCTATAATGCAATCATAAAATATATTTTAGTTGTTTGTATCTATTGTAAAATGTTATCTATCTTCTAGTTATACAATCCACTAGAAAAGAAAATTATTTCATTTTCTTATCTAAATGTATTATATTGTTTGACTAATATGAATGTTAAGTACTCAAATTTGATTCTTGGATCTTGTATCTCTAAATTAAGATTGCATTATACCATTATTATTTACATATAAAATATTAAATGTAGCTTTAAACAATGTTATTTATTTAATAAAAAATAATAATTTTTATATTTTTTATTTTTAAATTGATCAAATAAAATTTATTAAAATTTGTGATAATTTTAAAAATGTTACTTAGTGAGTTTATTGAGAAACACTTATCTGTAATTACAGAAATTTTATGTAAGTGAAAAATGAAGACATTATTAAAATATGTAACCGAATATGAAATCTGTTTTGTAAAGAATAACGATAAAAAATGTATTTATTGCATATACAAAAGGAAAAGGCGCAAGACAATTAATATCCTCCCCAAAAATAATGCCTGTAACAAAAGATTAAAATACAAATAACTACAAATTTTTTAAACTGGTTTAGATTTTTAAAAATTTTCAGAATTCTCAGCTCATGGTTTTATATTTAAAAAGCTTCAAATTTATCAAGTTTTAAACAGTTAAGTTTTAAAAGTGCAACTAGTGTTGTGGAGTCTGAAAAAGAAGAAAATTTTTTTGCTAAAAGAATTGGAGTTGTAAATGGATGAACTCCAGTTTTTTATGTACTATACATTATATATTAAGCTTCTATTTTGCATTATTAAGCTTATTATACAATATCTTATTTTATGATGATTCGTCTACTTCATGATCTTTCTCTACGTAGCCTATCACTAATTACTGTTGAATTTCTTTTCAAAAATTTATATTCAAATACATTCTGTACAGCTAATTCTAAATTTTTATTACCAAACAATTCATACAAAACAGCTAAGAATAGATAGAGTTAAATCTAGTGTTTTTGAATACTTTACTGTACCTACAAATGGAAAACATTGTTGTTAACGGGTGGATGATGATATGGTGAT